ATCAAGCAACAAAACTCCCACTGAATGTGCTACATTGAACAGTCTGCTTCTCGCTAGTTGCAAATCACATATTACAAATTGATGCTATTTGGCACCCTTTATTGCCAGTCTACAGAAAGAAAAGAAAAGAAAACCTCTGGCAAAAGAAATTAATTCCTGCAATAGCATCCTTTGCTTTAGAGCCCACAAACGACCCCACAAGTACTGTCAAATCATCCTCCATGGTACTATAGTATACTTCTCACCTATTTGTACTGCTGACACAGAAGAGTTTCTCTGTCTTTTGCGCCTGTCTTGGGATGATGCAATTCATTCCTACCTATGAGGGACATGGCCCACGTAGGCTCTTACTTAAGGATCTAAACAAACTGACAAATGGGGACACTACACTCTTACGGGATTAAGCGAGACAAAAGAAAGCATGGAGAATGAAAGGCAAGGAGTGGTAACATAAAAGGAGGAAACTGGAAGAATTTCTGAAAAACTGAATTCCATCCTTCTCCCTCAAACTGCTCGGGAGACGTGACATGCTGGCTACAGGCAAGATACCGACATTTCTAGTGCTGCGAGAAGTGCTCTTCCTGTTCATGGAGAGAAGAGGAAAAAGTTGGTGTCTTTCGCCAGTACTAAACAACCTCAGTATTCCTTACCTTCTCCCTTATAGTTCTGAATGCAATATAAGAATCATATCCAAGACTGGACATAGTTGTGACATGAACTGGAAAAATGGAGGTAAGGAAGCCCTGCAGTTAAATGACTTGGGACATGTGTAACACTAAGCAACACTGATAAGTAGACAATCCCTAACCACTGTCCATAAATCTCCTCTCAAGGTTAAAGGTTTGCTGAAGAAGTTACTGGGCAAGATTTGTTAGTTTGTGTCATGTGACAAGATAAATAGATGGCTAATCCCTTCAGGTGTTTTTTGTTGGGTTTTGGGTTTGGCTTTTTTTTATTTTTAACATCTATAAACCACTTGCAGTAGGGTAAACATTCATGTCTCAAAGTGAGAGTAACTACCTTTAATCTTTAATATGGATTCTAAAATAATGATTTCCAATGATGCGGCCAAAAGCAAATTAAGAATTACTTATATATCCGTATACTAGGATATATATTCTGTGTTTTCATATGCTTTAAGTGAGTCTGAACATCTTTCATACACTTCATCTTAAAAGTACCCTCTTCAGGTTGATAAAACCTGAGACACTTGAGGTCTGAGTTCTTAGGATGAATATTCCATTGGTCAGGACTTATTCTAGGACTAGTCTTAAAGGACTTGGCAAAAGATCAGTATTTTAAAAGTACATTTCAAATTCTTCTGCTTTGCACCTACAGTTGTGGCAGAGATGCTTTTTTAAAATAAGTCAGCAAATGAAGTTGGATAGTAAACCTTTTTTTTTAATTGAACTTGATGTTTCACAGAAATAAACTTGATCAAGTCTGTCAAAAGTGCACATTGCCTAATGGGCAATTATTTTCTTGTATCGCTGCTTACACTGTACATTGTAAACCCTGATTTCCTATTTCATGCCAACTGATTTTTAAAGCATTTTACAGTATCCATAAGATGCGGTACAAATTAACCTTTGATTTTACATTTGTTGTACGTGAAAAATAGCTACATAAAATAAAAGTAACAGATGCTCTTCTTACTTTACTGACGGCTTGTGTCATCTTAATACCACAATAGGCTCCACATGAAGAACCTGCCAACAGGTTTACACAGGTGGGATACAGACAGCAGAGTACATGGCTTGCACAACACTCACCTGTAATCATTACTCATAACACATTCAAAGCATGTTCTTGGAGTAAAGCGCATATAGTGCTTTTAGCAAAGGGCTGGATTAGACACCTTCAGAGGTTCCTTCCCACCTGAACTATTTTAGTAGCTCAACAATGCAATTGCAAAAATCCTAAGGAGTTTTATGTAACTGGAAGAGTTGTGATGCAGTCTCCTCTCAAAGTCAGATGGCTTATCCATCATGTCAAAAGTTTATCATTCAAGTCCTGCTTTGTATCCAGTTTCTAAAGCAAAGCTGCCAACATTACAAAAATCAGCTTACCACCCACCCCAAATGAAACGTCTGGTTGGCAGAATGTGCAGGTAGGCTCTTAAAATATTTAGGACTCCTGAATGAAAAATTCCTAATGAAAAACATTTACCATAGGAACTGCAACTGCTTAAGAAACCTACATGAGACTAAAAATAAAAATTGAATGCTCAGGAGCCTTATTAGGGCTTGTGACCCCTCTTTATTACATACATACAATTTTTATATTGTTCCCTCTCAAACTATTCTCCAAGTACCTTTTCACAGGAAAGAAGCAACCGTTTTCAAGACACTGGAAGATCTGGAGTCTTCCCAGAGGTGCAAATAACTCCCAGTGACTCCCAACTCTCACCAATATTATATTTAAAAATGTCAATTGAAAATCAATTAAAAAACCCCAATAAAATAGGGCACTATAAAGTCTTAAAGTCATTTTAGTTGCCTAGATCTACTTACATTCCCACATTGAATCTCAACATTACAGATGCAACCACAGGCTGTAAAGTGCTTTAAGACACATTGAAAAAAGCCAAATATAGGAGCCATATATTATAATCACCAGGAAAAGCAACAAATCAGTCATAGTACCATACTCCAAAAAGCAATGGCTGGAAAAAAGCTGTTTAACTCCTGCCCTTTTACAATAACACATAGCAAGGGTCATGTGAGACACTTCAGTGAGCACATGGGTGATGCTTTTCAAGTACCACAGATATTTTTGCCTCCAAAGGCTCTACTATAGATTTACTGTTTCCAAGGCCTTTCAGCACAGTAAGTAACTTCACGTCGGTAACGGCAACATATTATGCAACACCCTTTCATCAAAGAAACTCGGTATGGAAGAAAACACAGTTTAGAAGCTAAATGAATGCAGGGGACAGCCGAGCTCTGAACTCAAAGCAATCGTTTTTTTTTCTCTCCCCTCCCCCCCCGCCTCACTTTTTAAAATTCGCTTAAATGTATTTTTATTGAGTGGGTTCCTGTTGTTACTTAAGCACTGATATTTTTGTTTCCCGCTTCATCCTCTAACTATCCCAGGTCTGAAGCGTCAGAGATTAGACCTCACCTGGCTGCGGAGATTTTGTTTACAAGCAAAACCGCCATCGGTAGCAAGCAGGGGAAAGCAGGCACGGGAATTAAAAAACGAATGAAAGGAAAGCCAGGAGAAGTCAATTAAAAGCGGAGAAGGGGAAGGCGGGGACCTGGAGGGAGGGGGGAAGTGAAAAAAAACGAAAAGGAAGAAGGAGAGCCGGGAGAGGAGGGGGCAGGCCTTCAGGAAGACTGTTTCAACCCCAGCGTGAGGAGGGAGCTCCAGGAGACGAGTACCTGGACTGCTGCCTGCCCCGGACGGGGTCTCCCACCACGGCTCCTCCAACGTGTCCCCCATGC